CATCCACTGATTCTTTCTCCTATAGAGATATGGGTTTTTTCCAGCTTTGGCTACTGTGCAGCTATAAAATGTGCTATAAGAAGTCATACATTTATGGTTAGACTAGAAAAATAAAATAGCACACACAGAGTTTTGAATGTGTAACTAAGTAATAAGAGCTTCATAAGCGTTAGGTTATTAGTGTATTCCTTTTTAAATGAAAGCAATTACTTCTACCGGTTGTTGGAACCTATTGGTTGGTCAATTTTCCACTTCTAAACTGCAGATGTAATGTGACAGACAATACAACATAAAGCAATAGGAAAATAAAAACTAATCCCTTAAATACATGGAATTTGACCATGTTGATGAAAATGGTATTTAAAAATTGGTGATAAGGCACAAATTAATACTTCAAAGAGAATTAAGGATGATGAATAAACATGGAGTTTCAAACAATTTGGGCTGGGGAGTTTGTGTTGGAGTTTGTGTCTAGCAGGCTGAGGGTCTTGGGTTCAATCTCCAGAACTGCATAAAGAAAAAAGCAAACAATAAAAACCTTACACTTTGAATCCCATACATACACTAACTTAGCAATACCCCGAAGGTCTTATGATGAAGTACACCATGAACATTAAATAGCAATATTCTTTCTTCTCCATGTTGAGAATTCTTGCCCATCTCTTCAAAATCTGTTCACGTTACCTCTCAAAGTCTTCCTGAGCTCCTGACATAGCTTTCTCATCATAACCCCAAAGTACTGTACTACAGTATGTTTCAGAAGCATGTCTTCTCCCCCAGATGTTTTGCTAGTTGAACTGAACTCTTATTTCTAGGAGTAAAGTGTCAGTGAGATTAACTCTTGTTTCTAGATGCAAAAGTGAGACTTACAGCCTGAGTACCTGTTCAAATCATAAAAACTGCCTATGACAGAAAGGATCTGTCGGTTTCATTTCATTTCAAATAAAATTTACAGGAAAAACTATGCTCCAACCTGGTTCACCAAGCACATAAATGGCGTCTGGAGGTATCCTCAAATGCTCTATGTAATAAGACACTATGTCAATAGTAATTGTTGAAAAAAGCAAATTCATGAAAAAACAAACTCTGAAGTTAAATGTCACACTGGTCATGTACAAAATCCTGACTGCAAAAGTTCTGAGAGGAAAAAATCATCTTGTAAGACAAAATACATTAAAGTAGTGCACATCAAAGATTAGCAAATTATGGGTGCCAAAGCTCAGAACTCAGCAAGCTGGAACAGAGGACCATGGATACCAGGCTGGCCAGAGCCAAGCAAGATCATCTCCAGCCCCGACTCCAAAAATATCAACAACAAAAAGAATTAAAACTGTTTTTTTTTCCATCAGCACGCTTAAATTGAAATATATTAATTCTGAATGCAAAAATGGATATTGAAATAATTAAAACGGACATAAGCATACCATCATCCAAAACCAGTATCCGTTCAGTGCAGATTACATTGAATGCAAGCTAGCATGGGGCAAGTGACAACGTGCCCTGTGGAAAATGGACAGGATTCGAATTTTGAGGAAGCTCACATTCATAAGACTACTGCCACAGCACGACTTGCTACCATCACAGAGAAACCCGAAGGAGAATGACTGCTCTCAGCAAGTGAGCTGGAGTCCTCAATGAACAGACGAGAAAGGAAAAGTGGTTTCCTGATGGTCGGGAAACTCACGTGAACAGGTCCCTAGAATTCGCTGACAGGCACTGCAAGATCGGGGGCTATGCATGGGTCGCGGAGGGCCGGCGGACGGCTGCGGCTCCACTGAGGGATTTTCTAGCAGGGAAGCCGAGCACAAAGGTGGAAACGCACCATCTGGGCGCGTCCCAGCTAGAGCGCCAGCCCGAAGCTCAGACGCTCATCACAGCCCCAACTCCACC